AAAAAAAAAAAAAAAAAAAAAAAGAAATTTTCGATTACAATAATTCTTTTGGAAGGGCAGAGAAGATTAACAGCGTAATTTTTCTCCGATTTTCGGGATGAAACGCCGTGACTGATGCGTGCGCGCATTCTTTCTTCAAAGAAAGAACAAACAGAGAAAGAAAGAGAGAGAGAGAGAGAGAGAGACAAAGAAAACAATTTCGCAATCATCTCCTCGAAGCTCTCCACGCGGCCGGTTTCTCATTTATTTATACATGGAAAACCGAACACAACATTCAATGGATACTCGCACTGGCCTGTAATAAAACAGGAGGACAAAAGGTATTTCTCGTTTCGCGAGAAGAATGCTCTCCCGTATTCCCTTTGAGCGAAAGGGAACGAAGCGAAAAACGAACGCCCGGATTAATAAACACGCGCCCGGCCCACGTGCTATCCTCGACGAATCGAATCGAGAGCGTCGCGAGGACCCCCCACCACCTCTCGAGAGAATTATACCCACCTCGCTGTTGTGACTCCAGATCATCATGGGCGGTGGTTCCGGGGCGTACTTCACCACGCAGGTTAGGTTGATCGTGCTACCCTTGTTCACGAACAGGTCAGGGGCTCCTATGATGATGGTGATCGGTTCTGAAACGAAGTTTTTTCTTTTTTTATTTTTTTTTGGCGAGGTTTGATTCATGGAGATGTAAGAACAAAATATAAAATAAAAAAGTGATTCTTGACGATCAGAATTACAACGATATCATTTTTATTTTTGATATATGTCGTTATAATTTTTTGCAACTTTGATTAAAATTTCTTTTATATATATATATATATATATATTTTTGGGTCGTTTAATTTATATATATCGATAGATTTATCTGTAATTTTGTCATTGGTAAAACAATTATTAATTTGTCTCATAAAATATATTCACCTTCAATAATTTTTAAAAATGTATTTTATTCGTTATTCGTTTAATAAATCCGAATAAAAAATAATGACGATTATTCGAAAAAGTCGGAATCTTTATCAGGATGGATTTCGATGATTTTTAGATACGTTATAAAAAATCGACATTTCTTTTATATATGTGAGCACATATACGAACACGCGTTATTTTTGTTATCTCTAATTCTCTTTAATGTAAATACGTACGGGAGTGACCTGGCAAGTGAAAACATACAACGGATGAATTAATCGAATATCAGTTCGAGTTCACAAGATACGAAAATAAAATATAAAACGATCCTTGACGATCAAAATTACAATAATAATTGAAATTATAATTGAAAATATATGAATATCAATATTATTTTTACTTTTGATAATCTATCGTTGTAATTTCGGTTCCTATAACAACTTTAATCGCTCTTTTTCTTTGCATTTCATACATTTTAAATAATCGAGCAAGAGATTTTTTATCATCGATTCATTCCTTCTTCTAATATAGATAAAAATTACTCATTTACCTACAATTAAAATATAAATTTTTATATATCACTTACGACGTAAAAATAAAGCACTAAGCAAATTTTATTCATATAGCTATAGTTGACCGCCGCTCGGTTAATTGCCTCGCTTACCGTTCAACCAGAATTTTCGTTTAATTTTTACCTTTTAAATCGTAAGTTTGAACTGTATTTTCTCATTTTTAACATTTTGCTTTTAAATTGAAACGACGACGGAGTAGTGTGAAAACACGCCGTTTCTTTTTCTTTTTTTGAATTTCGAATCGAAAGAAAAATATTTTTAAAACGAGACATCGAAAAAGGATCGAACGATGAGAGAGAATATACGAAAGCGTACGTTGGCAAAGCGTTTTCAGGTCAAGTCAGCGCGATAAGATCTCTCCCTCCCTTCCTCCCACTCTCTCCGCCCCACTCTCTCTCTTTCTTTCTCTCGTTTAATAGTACGAGAAGGTGAGGAGGATATCGGACCAGTCATTAAAGGCTAGGATATACGAGCCCGCGGACGGCCTCGTTTCAAAAACCCGCCTTTGTAACGCTCGCGTGAAATCTTCCGCGTATCCTCGATTAATCCCTTTCGCTATACATTTATCTTCTAACCGAATTTCAAACGCATCGATCGAGAAATACTTTACGCTCGTTTTCTTCTCTGCCAACGACGAAAATTCTTCTCGATCTTTCTCCAACTAATGCAAGCTATTTCTCTCGTTTAGATTACTTAGGTTTTCTTCTAAATTTCTTCTAAATATATTTACGCGGATGGAAATTTTGGACGGAATACGCTCGATTTAAGAAAGATCGAGAAAGAAGAGTGATCATCTATCTTTTATGAAATTTATCGTATCTTTCTTCCAAGTTCGAATTATACTATACGTTTTGGTGAGGATATAATTTTTGTGAAATTTATTCTCGATTTATCGTATCTTTCTTCCAATATTATATATTTTGGTGAAGAATTAAGAAAAGAATATAATCTTTATGAAATTTATTCTTGATTTATATTTTTTCTTCTTCAAGTATTATATTATATATTATATTATATATCGATGAGGAAAAATTAAGGAAAAGGCTATATTTACGTGAATGGGAAATTTTGGAGGGAATAGTCGATTTAAGAAAGATCGAGAAAGAGGGGAAAAAAATATCGGTTAATTTCGTTTCAAAGGGCCAAGTCTCCACTTTTGCGCGCGCTTTCGAATTGAATTTTTTCACAAAAGCCCATTTACACGTAAAGGACAAAACAAGAGGAGGGGAAAGTAAAAGTAGTTTTTTTTCTTCCCCTCGAATATTTAACAAATTCAAAAGATCGTTTCTCGAATAGCGAATCTGTACCCTTTGTACGACCTGCAAATTGTTACGCGATTTCTCTTTTTTTTTCTTTATCGGTGATCGAAAAACGAGCAGTCGAATGTTACACGCTTCGAATTTCACAAAATATAAATACTTATATTTATGATAAATTTATGCTTGCGTCGTACGAATCTAATAATTATTTAATAAATAATATCAAAGATGGAAGAGTTTGTATGTATACACGCTTTCGTTTACATGCGATTAATTCCCCAGATATGAAAATTCAAACAAATCGAACGTTTCCTTCACAAAAAAAATTAATTCGATCGAGCGTTGAAACGATGAAATTTTATATTCTTTTTGATATTTGTTTCGCGCGAGTTCGAAAAATAGACGACTTTAAGATTTGAGGGAATTCAGCTGTTCTCGAAGGTGCGAATAAAACTGGGAGAGAGGGGAGATATCAAAACAGAAATAATTGCACTCGAAAGTTATTTTTTCCGATCTCATTCTTAATATAAATCTATTTCTATATTTCGAAACTCTGACGATTAACTAACCAACTAGCTCGTTCTCCAGAGTTTAATGGGACGATGGTCCCTCTTTCGAGAACTTGGTAAAAAAAAAAACTTTTCCTCAACTTGGAGAAGAATAAAGTTTTCCATCTTTACTCGAAAGTCTTCCTTACCGACTATAGTCAAATAAACGGGATGGCCGATAGGCGGTGTCGTTGATATTTGGCACTCGTAAATACCGGAATCCTTCTTCTGAGGATATCGTATCCTCAACGTCCATTCCTCGGCGTGGGGAAGGTGTAACGCCTCGAAGCGTTGGTCGCTTGTGTATGTGTAACGGCCGACCGTCAACAGATGTATGTCTCGATGCCTCACCCAGGAAACCTGAAACGAAATACTATAAACAAACTTTCTCCTCCTCCCATAAAAACGAATGATATTCCCCACTCTGCATTGAGCTCCAACCAATAACCAAAATTGACCCATCACGAGACTCGCAGAAGTGAAAATTTGCAACAGTTCGCATTTGCAATCAATTCGCTAAGCTTTAAATATTCTCTCGGTTAGAAAGGTTATATGTATATCCCTAGCTCTTCGATTGGAACGCACGACCCAAGAAAAATTCTTAAAGTGATCCACAGTGACCCGTTTGTATAATAATTTTCCTCGAATAGAATGAGGGAATATCATCTATCCAAGCGTCTTAACACCCTTCTAAATTGTCGACGGGAGGAGAAAGTAGGCCAGTCAAGTCGGATTTTCAATTTTTCCGATATCTCTCTCTCTCTTTCTCTCTCTCGAATGGACGAGAAAAAAGAAAAAAAAAGAAAAAAAAAAAGGAGAATCTCGATCACGGCACGTGTCATACACTGCATATATACGTGTCCGCGCTTTAATACGTTTAAATCGATTAAAGCTTGCGGCGATATCGATGAAACCGTGGACGTAATTACGCCGAGTGCAATCCGTTTGCTTGGAATCGATGTGCAGCGATGGCCTTAATTGTCGTTCACCGAACGAATGGACGAAAGGAAAATCGCAATGCAATTAATATTACTCGATCTCGGGACGCTCTAGGAACGTGTGATACGAATTCAATTTCTGCGATACGATTTTCGAGCGATTGCGAATAAGGGAGAGAGGAG